TGGGGACCCGGGGGAGCAGGGCAGACCCACAGGCCCTCTGGAGGGCTGGCCAGCTCTGCGATGCGAGTCTAATGTGTGAGCCAGAACCATCGTGGATGGCTTTCGGCGGTCCTCCTAGAACCTTCTAAGGAATCACTGGGTGGGTGGTGGGCTGTGGCTGGCATGTCTGAAGACCAAGGCTGCCTTCCCAGACCCTTGCGTCGCCCACACCTCCGAGGGTGGGCCTGGCCGCCCAGCACAGTCCTTGGGGCTGGGGGCAAGCTCGCCTCAGGAGGCCTCCTAAAGGACGCTGTCCTGCTGGGGCGCTGTCCACCGGGGGCACCCGAGAACAAGGCCACCAAGAGCTGCCTGGGGGCCCCGGGGAAAGGTGGTGGGGAAGGGGTGCAGCGAGGAGGCCATGCAGGATGGGGGCACAGAAGAAGGTTCTGGAAGCCCAACGGCAGGGCTGTTGATGGTTGGGAAGATGAGCTTGGCTGGCAGAGGCCTTGGGGGATCGTTCTGGGGTGGCTGGGCAAAGGCACAGGTGTGTTTGGAGAGGAGGGACCCCCAGGTTCCGAGAGCAGGGCCGCCGGGAAGAGCAGGAATTCTGGCACGGACACGGGAGAGGAGCGTGGTGGCGGGGGAGCTGAGGCCAGGTGGGCAGTGGCGGCCTCACCTGCCAGATGCGCCTGAGAGAGGCGTAGGCCAAGAGGCAGCAGTCCTGGTGCTCGGCGCTGCTCGGGGGCACCAGCAGGGCCAGCAGGATGCAGGCGCGGGCCAGCGTGTCCAGCTGCCTCACGTTCCGCAGCCTCTCCAGGGACGGCGTCCCCGAGTCCCCGGGCTCCGGGCTCTCCGGGGCTGCCTGGGGGGGTGGGAGTTCCTCTGCAGGACAGGAGACCTGGGCTGTGAGCCCACACTTGGGGTGTCCCCAGGTCCCTGCCATTCTTCTTTGCCCCCCTGACACCCACATTGCCCCATCTGAGGGCAGGGATGCATTCACTGCCCACTGCCTGTCCTGGAGCTGAGCCTTCCTCCAGAAGGGGTGCCCACAGTGTGGGGGTCAAGGACAGCCTCTTGGAAGGGCTCCCCAGGGCTGCTCCCCTGGGAGAACACCAGCTGTCCACTGGGGTGTCTGGGGTTCAGTCCTGGCGTCCTGTGCTCTGGGGTCTGCAGGCCACAGAACCTCCCCTGTGTGTCTCACCCAGCTGGTCTGAGCTGCATGTCTGGCCTGGCCTGCCTTTCACG